TTTCCATTGATTTTCGATGCCCTTAAAAATGCAATTATATTTAATGAAAAGCACGCATAAAATATTCATTATTTTGCTCACCTGGTAGTTAACTACGTTTTTTTCCAGTTTTATACTCGAAGGAAAGAAATAATGTGTTTCTCAGAAACGTTTCCTATTCCCAATTAATTCTGAATCCCGACCTGCCGTTACACTTCCATTTTTGCGTACAGAAAACCACACATTTCTTCACGGAATTAGGGGGAATCTTTATGAGGTTCATAAAAATTTAACAATGGATTTGAGCCATATTGTTTAATTTACAAGCCAAGTCGGTAAATCTAGAGACCTGAATTTTTATAAACCGCTATCTAACAGTATTAAAAAATCTCACAATAAGGCCCTTTTTTAAAACTAAATTATGCTATTTCTTCAATTATGCAGTTGGAAAAAAACGTAATTGATTTACAAATAAGCAAAAGAATGAATATTTATGCACGTTTTTTATGAAATGTAATTGAATTTTTAAGGGCATCGAAAATCAATGAAAACAGGTATGCTACTTAACTAATCCTTTTTGCAGAGTAGTGTTCTTGCTTGCAGCCAGAGAGATGTTCGTTCGAGTGCCGGTGTTCCAGGATAAGTGAATTATTATAGAAGTATTCTGCAAGTTGCTTAGTTTAACAACCTTATTTAATCAGTCTTTTCAAGGGAAAGCGTATTTCGGAATTTCGGTTGACATTTCATGGGTAAGCCCACCTTCTGTGTGTTGGTATGTCCTGATACAGACTATATCTGAATCCGTTTACTCCTTCTTCTCAATAAACAAATAAACAATAACTAGGCAAAATTTCGTGATTGGGCAATGGTAAGCACTTTATTATGTTGATGGTTGAATGCACAAAACCTTAAAGCTGCTCCTGGGCTAAGTCCGGCATATGTACTCAGAGATCGCATTACCAATGCTTATTTACTAAATATTAATGCCTTTCCCGTGAAGGCAGACATGTTTTCTTCCTCGCTAATATATTATTATGATTTACTATCTTTGGATTTTGGAGCCAATAATTTCAGCATCCTTTAATATCCGTATAAAATTTTGAATAAGCATGATTTTAAAGTATATGAGTGGCCAGCAATTGTTCCCTCAGTCTATTCACTGCGGATGTAGCTACAATTATGCATAACATACTATTTGCAGTGCACAGATGTTTTGTTCAAGATGATCATATCCACCTGGAAGCGTCTGTCCTCTTATTGTTACGGAGACTACCAGTGCTGAACGATCATCATTCTCGATCAGAAAAAGAGACAATACATCTTACGATCGACACGCACCAGATGGGGTTCATTCATAATTGCTCGGAAATAAGGAGGTTGCACAAAACCACTGTTTACAACTCCATCTGCTTTGCTGAGCTGCGCTTGGTGCAATTAGGACTGAAATACAAGGTATTCACACGCAGACAACGCTTGTATTTACTTCTGGTATCACAATTTACAATCTCATTTCATTTATGCATATTTGTCCCAGCATACCAAGCATAGAAAAAAAACAATTTTAAAAAGAAACCCGTGACTGATGTCTGTCCGCATATGTGTCCAGTCCAACCCCGAGCTCATTCCAATGATGGTCGACAGAAGGTCTTAACAAATTTATTTGGTTACAGCAGCAGACTAACATAGCGTCGTCTGATATGTTTTATAAGTGAAACCCTATGCGGACATGCTATGAGCGAGAGAAAACTCCGTCGGATGCTTGTCAGTTTCTTTGTTTGTGCTCCGTGCGTGATGGTCGTTTCAGCTCCATCCGGCAAAACATTTTTGCCTTGATAAATAACCCAATTTTCCAGATTTTTCAGGTAGAACAGATAAACATAGTCACAGTCTATAGTTAGTTTTTCCATGCCCAGGTGAAGATTATGCACATAGTTGCGGTAATATTTGTCGTACAGTCTTTTTGCCTTTCTTTTAAGTGGACATTTCATAAGGAGAAACGTGTCAAGATTCCGATTGCTGCCTCAAAAACTGTTACAGTGGACAATGTAATTGCAAGATTATTAGTGAATATATCATTCACAAATCCCATCAAGAAAGGTACCACAACAATTTCCCTATCAAATATCCACCTACTTAACTTTGGAGAATTAACTATCGAGGCCTATCGGACCTCATTCGAACAAATTCCATACTGGGCAAATAGGCTGATTCAAAATTTGGATCGGCATATAAAACACGCAGTAAGCGCTGTGGATCTACCTTCCTGTACCGCATGACTTACGGACGCGCTCTCATATGTTGATTAGCATAACAAAAATTAAAATATTTTTGTGACTTCAAATAAAGGCTTTTCATTTGGCTCCCTTTTATTAAGATGCATAAGTAGATTTCGACATCCTCCTGCCATTAATTTATCAAGCAGTCCGGAAGTTAAAACGGACAGGTGTTTTGCAAGTCTCTCAAGTCTCAAGTCAGCGCCGCGGTTCTACCCTCCTGTACCGCTTGACTCCACGAACTTGTCATTATACGGTACTAAAAATTAAAAAATGAAATATTTTTTTTTCATATTCAACTCGAAGGTTTTTTATTTCTCCACCTCATGAAGATGCATAAGTAGATTTCGGTCAGATGTGGTTATTTGGCCGCGCCTGGGGTAAACAAATCGCGGCCGCCTGTAATTCAAGACGGATGGTAATGGGGGTTTTTACAGGTGGGGCCAGGGAATGCACAGGCGACGAAGTTAAGTAATTGTATGCAAAAGAATTGCTATTTGGAATGCGCGGTTATAATTTGAATGGTCGAGAAATGGTTGCCCTAACTCCAAACCATGACCTCAACCCCTAACACTTAGCCTAACCCCTGACCCAAACCCCTAACAGTGTTGTGTTCATCAGTTACGGTTACATAACCACATCCTGCTTAGATTTCAGTACCCTTCTGTCATTAACTGACAAAGCAGTCCAGGGGTAGGGATGGACGGATGTTGTGCAACTGCCTATTAGTGCAATTGTTGCTGATATCGAAATATGTCTATAAGGCGTGGTTTTAATTGCCCAGTTATGTCTATCACCGCATGAATTTTTTTGCAACATTTAAGGCTGGCGGCATACATACGTTCCATTGATTCTAGAGAGAGAGACAGAAGGCTGTGTTTTGAGCCAAAAATTCAAAATTTCCAACAAAAGTGTTCTCGAAGAAGGAGACACGATCGCCGGGACAAGAGCTTTATTAGCCTGACGTTTCGGATTCCTACTCGAATCCATCATCAGAGACAAAAGAGGAATCATTTTTTAAAATGACCACTTAATTAGTATGCATTTTTCCTATTTATTTTCGATGACCCATTAAATTCAAATAAATTTTATAGAAAACATGCACAAGCATATGCATTCTTTTACTCCTTTGGTAGAAAATCACATTTTTTTCACATTTTATACCCGAAGAAAGTGGATATTTGGGTTTTAAAAAAGTTTTCCAATTCCCGATTTATTCCGCGCCTGACGTGCCATTGCATTAGTGTTTGGCAATTTCAGTCTACAAGGTGTATTCTGTCCGCGTAAAGAAGATCATATATTCCTATATGCCTTTAAGAAGGTGCTACATAGAGTCATTAAAATTTCGCAATGGATCCGGACTCTGTTATGCATTTCAGTAGGAGCATTGCGAAAACGGACATTTGCGGTCCTCTATGCATGAACATCATACGGTCTTAAAAATTTCATAATTAGAAACTTTTTAAAACCACAATTTACACTTTTTTCGAGTATAAAATATCAAGACAATGTGACTTTCTACGAAAGCAGTAAAAAATCATATTTTTGTGCATTTTTTTTATAAAAAATATCAAATTTACTAGAACATCGAAAATCAATGGGATAAATGCATGTTAATTAAGTAGTCATTTTTAAAAAATTGCGGTTTCTGCGGAAGGTCAAAAACGGGTGATATCAAAAACCGACATCCTGGGGAGTCCGAAATGCTATATACTTATGCTGCATACTTACCATTATTACAACCCCACCTAAGAAATCCTTCCAAATCGAAGACGCCTTTCAGATTTTCGGCCAACATTTCATGAGATCGGTCACGCACTGTATGCTTTCTTTTACTTGTTTGGGTAGAAACTCGCATTTTCTGCCCGTCTTATAGCTGAATAAATTGTATATTTCGGTTTTAAAAATGCTTTCCAATTCCTGAATAATTTCGAACCTGATCAGCCGTTTCATTGGTGTTTAGCTATTTCAGTCTACAAGGTGTTTTCTTTTTTTATGACTTTGGCGAGGTATCATATGGAGTTTGTAAAATTTTTCAGTTGATGCGGACTATGTTGCACACCTGATGAGGAGCGTTAGTAAGCGGACATATGCGATGTCGTAAGCATGGACATTACACGATATTAAATTTCTCATAATAAGAAACGTTTTTAAAACCGAAGGATAACCCTTCTTATGGTATAAAATTTTAAGACAATGTGAAGTTCTACCAAACGTGTAAAAGAAAGTATATTTTTGTTCATGTTTTCCGTAAAATGTATTTGAATTTGTGAGACCATGTCACATGGAAAATGCATGTCACACTAGTGATCCTTTTTTACGGAATGTGATTTCATTAAAAGGTTGAAAAGAAATGTATCCAAAAAACCGACATCCTGGCAAGTCCAAATTACTATAGTACTTTGCAGCAGGATAATTAACATTACAACTCAACCTTAGTAATCCTTCCTAGTCGAAAACATATTTCGGAATTTCGGCCAACATTTTGTGAGATTGATTGCTGAGACATGACGGAATTCGATCGTAATTAATCAAAATAATGCTACAGTGGAGTAAGGAAACCGAAAATTAGCCTGCTTCATTGGCATTAAACGTTACGTGGCAGGACTATATATAAAAAGACGCAACAGACATCAACAGCAGACTCGGCAGATTCAGTATAATGAGGAACACAATGCTTTGTAGTGAGGATGGATTCCCACTTAATCTTACTTATACTATCCGTCAGTCGAGTGACAAGATCTCTCGATGGGTCCAAGGTGTGCTACGGAAACTCGCAAACATACGGCAGCAGCGCAGCCTGAAGTTTTCACTGTCGTTGATAGCGATGATGATAATGACGACGATGATGATGATGATGATGAGGAGGAGGAGGAGGAGGAGGAGGAGGAGGAAACGCGCAAACATACGGCAGCAGCGCAGCCTGAAGCCTGTCACAAACCAAGCTGACACGTCTTTCTCCAGCCCTCTTGTAGCACAGCTCGTTGTGCGGAGAGCCACATGTTAGGCACACGGAGGTTTAAGACAGTCGTTAGGCGATCTCGGATCATTTCGGCGGATCAAAATGAGGTGTGTAGGTAGAATGGAAATTTAGGTTACTCCACGAACACTAGAAGGTTGCGAACATTCTACTTGTGTGACCTAGCGAACTGAGTATGCAAAGGCGAATTGTCTTCAAACCAGGCGAACGTCCATACACTCCACCCACGAACAACTGGAGTTCATCGTAACGCGTCTGAAGGCTGAAGTCTCCTAATATCCACTTCCGTTTTTAAATTCAGCCCACAAATAAGGAAGATCTAATGTATATTGAACAAGACTTCCGCATGTAAATATCCGTAAAATGTATTTGAATTTGTGAGACCATGTCACATGGAAAATGCATGTCACACTAGTGATCCTTTTTTACGGAATGTGTTTTCTTTAGAAGGTTGAAAAGAAATGTATCCAAAAGCCAACATCCTGGCAAGTCCAAAATACTATAGGACTTTGCTGTATGATAATTAATATTACAATCCCACCTAGATAATTTTTCCTAGTCGAGAACGTATTTCAGCATTTCGGCCAACTTTTCGTGAGATTGATTGCTGAGACATGACGGGATCCGAGCCTAATTAATCAAAATAATTTTACAGTGGAGTAAGGAAACCGAAAATTAACCTGGTTTATTGTCGTTAAACATTACATGGCAGGACGTTAGCTAAAAAGACGCATCAGACATCAACAGCAGACTCGGCATATTCATTATAATGGGAATCACACTAATTTGTCGTGAGGACAAATCAACTACCACCTCCAACTGGAGTTCAACATAAAGCGTCTAAATGCTGAAATCTCCCAGTGTCCCCTTCTGTTATTTTTCCGTTTTTAGTTCAGTCCACAAATACGGGAGATCTGATGTGCATCAAACAAGACTTCCGCGTGTAAATATCTAACATCCGGCCTACTTGCAGACCAAAACTCGCCTTGCCCCTGTGTGTGAATGAGAAACTATTGAGCAGTAGTTTCCCTCATTTTCCCAATTACTGTTTTGATCTGTTTAGAAGCAAATGCATAAAAGGTGGCAATAAGGCTAAGAAGCGGTCATTGACTAGAGAAGTTAGATGACACGAAAAGCCTACTCACGATCGCATAACCGTTCTTGTCTGAGTATGATTTCTTTCCTCAAACTCATTTTTTCTGTGTGCGGGTGAGAAAGATTGCTAAGTCTAAAATGGTGCCTACAATACCACTGAGGGCTCTGCCGGTTCCGGTTTCTTAATTAATCGTCAAAGATGATGACCATGTATTCCAAGACTGTCACGATGGTCCCACTGAGGAAACTATTGGTGACATTGACTAGTACAATGTGTGTCTAAATGTGTCTTTCCACAAGGAGCGGTCTTGTCCAGATCTGCAAGCAGTCTTAAAATAAAAATTGGATTAAAATGTAAATAAACATTGCAGTCTTTTCTGGCAATGCAAAGCAGTCTTACTTTTTAAATTGTTTATGTACCAGAATCATTGATCGGCGTCACGATGACATTCCTGTTGATCTCGAGTTTTTATTGTTGAAGACGTCCATGTCGAGTGTTGAAGTCCTTTAAATGCTTGGCCGACTT